TTTTACCTAATTGCACATATAGTGATAAGGTAGCTGTCTAAGTCCTGGAGTAATAAAAATCGTCCCATATTTTATCAGCTCGAGAGGCCCCCAGAAGGTTGCATGGAAAGTCTGCTCAGACGAGCAGACAAAAATTTTAACTTTTAAGGAAAGAAGCTTGCTGAACGAAGTATTTTTTTGTGATGCAAAAAGCCATGAAATGATGTAGTAAGTCATCAGAAATACTTCGAAGTCCGATATGCAGCTTTGATACATGCTGCGATTGCGAAAGTTCCACAGCTTTATCTCCTGCGATTTGCGCGAAAATGTGGCCTCTGTCTAAATTGTAGTGGTTTCCAGATACCTGAAAAAGTTTTTCTTGACGTATAATTAAGAGCTGTCGAGTTGCATATGGCTTGCTATGAACGTCGCTGATGACAGCGAATCCCTAAGATAAAACAGCGAATTACAAGAGTATGTATATTTTTGGTATGCACAACAATGCATTCGATGCTTGAAAGTTTTGTGAATGGCCGGTCACTTTTGTGTCTTTTCTGCCCTGTCTTGGTAACAAAAAAATACGAATGATACAAAATGTGGAACAATTTCTGAGTATTGTTTTTTCCACCCAAGTTGCTTAACTCACCATTAGAATTCTAATATCGAAACTTTGAGGGTCGTTTTGAAATATTGTTAGGAAGACTAATTTAGATCACCAGAATGGCTTTTGCAATTACCTCGTTGGAGAACAAAGACATTGATTCTATTGTGCTGCCAACAGTTCCAAATGAGGACATTGAATTAATTACACTGCCTTTAAGTGCAAGTGCAGAAATTGAATTCGCTTCACCGCTTTCACCAGGTGAAGACATGGAAATTACCCTGCCTTTGGATTCAAGAGAGGACATAGAAATTTTACTGCCATTAGATTCGAATGAAGACATAGATCTTGCTCTGACTTTGGATTCAAGTGAAGATAATGGAATCATCACCCTGCCGTTGTACTCACTTGGAGAAATCAAAATCAGTTTACTGCCCACGGTTCAAAGCAAAGACGCCGAGACTTTGACCCGCAAAGTTTCAAAGAAAAGCCATACTGCACGAAGTCCTAGAAAGCAATCCTCTCAATTTGCTGTACGTTCAGGATTCCGATCTACACGGCTGGCCAATAGTGGGAGTTTGCTCAGCAGGAGAAGAAGGAAATCAGCGAAATCAGTTTCTTCCAATAGTGAGCGATGTGGCACTCTTGGACACCTAACTAACATCTCGATAACCACTGCGTTCAGGCAACACTTGAAGAAAGTTTTCATCAAAACAGATCAGAAAATCAACAATTATTTCATAGCGCACTTCAAGTACAACGATGGAAACTTTCGGAAAAATTGGCGTGAGCTTATTTATCGAATTCGCTATGGTCCGAACCAATTGATATTGTCATACTCAATTATTCTTCCTGGGACAGACAAGTATAAACATCGCCTCTGGAAAGGAGAGTGGATTGACATTAGTGGTAAAAACTTGTCTGTCTTGTACAGAAGTTCGGTTCAATCTGGCGCCCCAAGTCTCGGCAAGCTCTTCATCAATATGATCAAAAAACTTAAAAATGTCAGCCAAGTGAAAGGATACAATGGAAAGTTCATTGAACAGAATGCAGTTCTCACACCAAACATCATCTACTCTAGAATCCCCAGGTTGTTTAACATACTCAAAAAATGCCTTGCATGGCGGAGAGTAAAAGGAAAGGCGAATATGAGCGCTGAAGAATTTCAAAACACTCCAATAGTTGATAATGTGACTTTGCTTATGGAAGCTTTGGACCGAGCTGATGGCAATGTAGGTCCATCATGCGTAAGCATAATCAGACCAGAAAGATCTACAAATTCTGCGAAAAGAGAGATTTCAGAAACTTTTGTGACGATACTCTCTCATGATCTGGATAATTTTGTTACGGACTCTCCTTTCAAGGCAGGCTTTCGAAGCTCGTCAAATATGGCAACTGAGCCCGCAAATCACAAAAGGCGGTATATGTGGGGAGATTCTCCCATTGAACCTCTCGAAGGAATTCAAAGTACACACTCACACTCATCAACCGGTTCCGAGTATAGAAAAAACTCGTCAGCAGAAGATTCGTGTGACCTTTACTACATGAGTAGCAATGATGATAGCTCCTATCATGACTGGAAGAAGCCTGAGCCATATGCATCTAGTTTCAAGCCCCTTTCTTTGGCCGAAATCTCACTGCTTGCTTCCTCTGTAATTGACTGGAGATCAAGTGGAAGAAGCTCTTTCAATAGCGGATTACCGTCCCTGACCATTCGATTGGGTTCAGAATACTCTGCCCTGTTGGAAGAACCTTCAGATAGATGTCTTCGTAACATGTTCAGAGCACTTCTGCTAGAAAAAGAGAATGAAACTTAAATCAATATGAAATATTTGAAACAAATTTAATGAGACTTCAGCTGATTTTTAGACACGAATTTACAAGCTACTTCAATGAATAATGTTTTGAGTCTTGTGATTTTGAGCCATTTGTATAAATATTTCGAACCAGAGGGATGTGAAGCTAATTAGATTGTAATTATTCGCAAATTTGAAGTCTTTGAATTTTGGTAATATAAATTATAAGAATAGAGTTTGCTCGTTGGATAAATAGGCACAAAAGTATTGATATTATCAGGAGTGTTCAAGAAGGCTTCAAATATATGTTTATTCCGGGCTTTTAGATAGCCTGGTTATATAGGATTGTTTGGGATCTGAGGATATCCGGGGTTTTAAAGGCAGTCTGTGTCTGAGGTATCTTCAAAGGTCCAGACGAAGCCAGGCTTCAGGGTATATCCAGATAAAGGATTGTGAAAAAAAAGAACCTACAGTTTTGCGAGAATTCTTTGTAGACAAATCCAAAACAAGTAGGCGTCCTGTGAGTGAGATATATCCCGACTTCTTATCTGGATCTAACTCTCGAGCACTGAAATTGTTACACTCCAGACGTGATTTGGGGCCAAAAAGAGCTTCACCTATGATTATACCTAAGTTATTGTGGAAGGTAAGATTTCTAAGCTATGTTAGATTAGGAAATCTGTGCCTTCAGCTTAACGTATCAGAAACTGATCAAAAAAATTGATTCTTGCTTAGGGCTACAAGTTTGTGAGGCGCTTTGGCAAAGCAATAAACATTTGAGAATAATATAAACATTGTACCATATAATGAGCTCTGAAAGACAAGAAGGACCACACAGTCCAGCTTTGAGAGAAAACCTGAGTCGTGCTAGTTTTGACAAAATTTTTGACGTACCTTTCCGGCATAAAGGCTTAGAAGATCTGATTTGTGATTCTCAGTGGTTGCAAGGTACCCTCTCATAGGAAGAACATGCGAAAGATGTGTGTGCATTCACAAGACATTTAGAACAAAGACAACGCAAAGAGGAGTCAAAACAAGTTCATACAAAACACAAAATTGTAATGAAAGCAGAGAAACTGAAAACTGACCAATGGTTTCTACGGGGCTTTGTGCTCTTCAAATCGAATTCGGCATTTGCGCTGGATCAATCAACATACCACTGGATATCTCTAATTTGAAGACAAGGTCGTGTATGAAACAAAAACAGCAATTGATTCATCTAATTTGATCTAATTCAAATATTATTGTTCCCTGATTGTTCATTGTGTAACTTTTTTTGCTTTTAAAACAAGAGATATGGTATGAAGCATTGCACACCCACAGTACAATTCTTACCGGGAGTGGCTGGTGAGTTCAATAGAGACATGTCTAGAAGAAATTGAATTTTAAACATTGACCCAAACAAGAAAAATAAATTGATTCAAATCAGTTGATCAAGAATGTTTCAATGATGAGGAGAGACAGCTATGTCGCAGTAGGTTGTCGAAATACTCACGGCTCGTCGTCTCGAATTGTTGCAAATTTCTCATAGCTGACACAATTTTGAAAAGTGACTAAAGAGGGGAAGATATTTTAAAGCTCATTTATCTCTGTTTTTAACGTGAGTTAGGACTAACATATACTACTTCTATTTATGCTTGATTCTAGTTCATTAAATTCGTATAAAGAATATTTCTTGGATGATAGAGACTGAAAGTTGCATTTATGGCTGTTAAAATCATTATAATTGTATGTTCTTCCCCTAACTTATTCATTAATATTCTTCCCTTTGTATATTGAGCTTAATATAGTCTAATTTCACCATACTTACCATATCTTTGCATTACATCCCCTTATATCGCCCTCATTTTCTATTTTCAATTGTCTGTTGACAAAAATAAAAAACTTGGAATATTCTATTGAAGTTATCAAGCTGAACTTCACCTCGTCTTTTAGTAGAGTGTACCTGTAATTAAAGGGTATTGTCTTGTAAGGCTTCTCAACAACTTTAGATTAGGAGAAAACGACATGTTAGAAATTCCGGATTAATAAAGAAACACTTCTGAAGAGAATAAAATTCATTAAAAAAAGGAAGTCATAAGGTTTGGGAATAATTCACCGTTGACGCCACAAATTGTCCACTTTGATTTGTTGGCTCACGAAGTACAGTGGGCGGTAGGATTGGGTAGATGGAGTTACTGGATCTCTACCTCAGCCGTCTACTTGAGTTTCAGGTTCTGCTTCATTCGTTTTCTTGATTGTCATGCTTTCTATGTTCTTTTGCTAGGTAAATTTTTTGAGATGCTGCAACAACATGCCAACATACTGGTATTATTACCCGACTAAAATACATTGCGCAATAGAGCTTCTAAAAATAGGACTGATCGAAAAGAGACATGAAATCGCATACCCTATCGAGAACAACATACACTTTCTGCATTTGCAGAAACAAACTTATGACTTGAGAAAAAAACATACTTCGAGAATACCTTATTCTTCTTACTAGTGCTTTAACCGTAATGTGACGATTTCCGCATTGTCTTTTCATATGGATTGCCCAGTTCGCGTGTACCAGAAGTCTCAGAACTTTAAGGGGGGTCTGATTAAGATTAAAAACAGCCCCGTGTTTTTTTCGTTACGACATTGTATACTAAAACACTGATTGGCAATTAATAATATAAATTATAAAAATGGTGTATGCTCGAAACTAAATTGTGTCAAGTTTATAAAAGGGCATAATGATTTAATATTTGGTCGGCTAGTTTTGTGACATGATATCACAACATTCCATCTTACTAAGATTATTAGCCGCCTAAAACAGTAAGGACCATCAGAATATTTTTTTCTTCACAGATCATAAAAGATTTGAAATCTCATGCCCGAATAATATGCAGTTCCATTGATTCCGCGATTGCAAAACCATACCCATACTTAAAAAAACATACTTAAAAAACACATTATCCTGACGTGAGTATGTCTTTTGTCCACAGGTTTTCACATACTCGAGCTTGATTAGTGCCCAACCTACTGCAATACAGGAAAACACCGATCAAAAAATTGTGACTGCAAAATAAGATATAGGCGATTTGTTCTAAATATGTTTGTTCATATTCCGGATTTGGTGAGATTTTTCATATATGCGAAAAGATTCTTGAATTTCATGCAACTATTTCAAAATGCTGCCTACTTTTTTGTCCCTGATTACAATTTCTACTTTGTTCTGGCTTGAATCCCAAGAGTCTGGAGCAATATATAAAGAGGTGATAATCCCAAGCTGTCATCGTTTTGTTTTTCTTCCCAGACCATCTCAAAAATCCTTAGGGTCTTTAGTCTAAACATTTTTCTTCTTGCCGAACTCAAGGAGATAATCAAATTGAGTATGCCATTGACTATCAACTCAATTTCAACAGACGACATCAAAGTCACCGCGTTTCCGCTGGTGCGAAAGTACAGGCCTGGAAGAACGAGCCATGGGTTGTTTAACTTGACCAGAAAGCGAATCTTTCCCTTTCTTGAATCTCCGGTTTTGCCTTCGGCGGGTTCGAGTCTTTTAATGGGCGCGCATCGAGGGGGACAGTGGTCTGATGGGAACAGGTATTCTCTATCCTCCCAAAATGATATCGCTTCTGAGGAAAAAGTGAATATTGCAGTTACTACTGCGTTGAAGTATAATTTGGAAAAACTTATTTCGAAGACAAACAAGAAAATCGAAAAGTTTTCACACACACACTCCAATGCTTTTAAGAACAAAGAAAGCCATACTAAGGTCTGGAAAAAGTGTCGCAAGCTTATCGATCGGATGATCAATGGCCGGAAGGAATTGATCCTCACATATTCAGTTATCACTCCAGGATCGGACACAACTGAAACACGCATATGGGATGGCGAGTGGGTAGATTTCACGGGTGAAAGAACGACTGTTTCAAGCCACGCTTCTGTCAAATTTGGCACTTTAAGCTTAAAGGGCTTTTTTGTCAATTTTGTCGAAACGATCAGAAACTTGATTGAAAAGAGAGCTTACTTTGGGAAAATTTTTGGGGAAGACTCAGTCTTCAGATTGAATCTCCTGAATATAAGAATTCCCCCTTTGTTGGAGCTCATCAAAAGATTTGCAAAATGGTGGACAATGGACGAAGGTGTGAAGACTTATCCTACATACCATTGTGACAATTCAATCAAAAGAAACACTAGGGTTGACAATTTGACTCTATTGTTGGAGGCTTTGGATAGGATGGACGCAGAAGAAGCAGCATTGGCTGCAGCTAATGGAACTTCATCACAAACTGGTCCAATTCTGGAATCAGAGGACATCCCATCGCTTTACCTTCCTCTCCCTGATATTCCCAGTGCGCTTTCCGTATTGGATTTTGAACAACCATTTGAAGAACACTTCCAAGATTCTTTCGAGAACATGGGCGCTACGCTTGGCTATGATGTTGAAGACTATCAGAGTCTCTACACTCATGCAACACCAGAATACATCTGTTCTGGGAACGTACAAGAAACAAATGAATGTTTTGAAGACGATTTGTTAGCCAATTTCAAAGCGCATGACCTATACGAGTCTAGCTATTCGCCCATCTCGGTATCTGATATTCCGCTGTCCGCTTCTTCGAATCTCGAGTGGAGAGGAAGGCAAGCCAACAATCCGATAGATCAATTGTTCTCGCCTATGTATCACGTTGAAACAGATTCTTTGAATCTGAAAGAAGAGAATTCGGGAGGATTTCTCAAGAAATTGTTTAGAGCAATGCTGCTCGCGGAAAGACAGCCCAAGTCAACCCTTAGCTGGGAGTAAAATGTTCACTCACTGGATGTGCAAGACAAGGACCTGTATAGCCCGAAGACCTTAGTTAAGATTGATTTTAATGCGAAAATTTACTATTTAACTGATATTCTTTGTGTTTAGAATTTGATCATGAATGATCGAGAATATCCATGTCTCTCAGAGAGGATTGCATTCATAAGAATGAAAAAAAAAAAACGAATTGATTCCAGAGATTTCTTTTCAAACATAAATATAGTTGTTTTCAAAAAGAGTTCAATAGCTGAGACAAATCTTTCCGTAATTAGATAGGGGAAAGTTACAAAACTCAAGGGCCTTAAAAGGAGTTGCTGGCCACCAGACTAGAGGGAAATGTGCACTGAAAATTGAGCGAAGCAAATTCAAAGAGTGTGAGTGAAATTCAGTTGGTATGATTCAAATATTCCCAATTCACGACTAGAAGCTTGCAAGAAGTCCAGCAGTAAAAAAATAATGTTGCTCTTCGATATGACTTCTTTAACAACATATGTATTGTTTCAAAAAAGCAGACATGCAAGGTGTTTCAACCAGAATTTTCAGATACCATATGTATCTCTCAATTAGAGTACTTGATCATACAGGTTTTCAAATTTTTATTGGTGTTCGATGCGTACTTCAAAGCACGTATTGTGGAGTTAATCCCAGAGAAAAGATATGTCTGTTTCCGGCAAATTTTATTCTTTCTCGAAGATTGACAAGGAATTAGAAAGACCTGATTTGGTTGGATTAATCGGAGACTTCCAAAAATATGTGAAAGTAGTTCAAGCAATTATAAAGTTTTAAAATCTGCATACACATGTATGTGATGCCTGAGACTTCCATCCTAAGTCTATCCTAGGAAAAACAGCAAGTCGGAGATTAATGGCGAAGATATGGTTGACGTTTATCCAAAGCAATAACAACAATTGAAGAACAAATGGAACTTTTGCTTTTGGTGTTCGTGCCGAACAAATCCTCGAGATAGTTATCCTACCAAAGGTTGATGCACAGATTATTGTTTAGGGGTTTCTCCGATATCGTTTTAGCTTTCATGTACTCTAATAGTCAATAGAAGTTAACTGGGATTAATTTTGGTATAATAATTTTGGAAGAAAAAACGAGAGGAAATTCTCCACAACCACAGCAGCCAAGCCATTTACCACACTCCCATTTCTGATCATTGTACATGAAGACAATGTGACTAGCCTCCATACTTTCAAGTGAAGTAAAATTATTTACGACAGATTGATCTTTAGAGTGCATGACGTGAGTGTTATGGCAACCACGAGTGTGTTCAAGAACTACTAGCAGACAGAAACCCTTCTCGATTAAATATTTATCATGGCACAAAGTCTCAAAGGCCCGAAAATTTGCACTACGTGCTTTCTTGTGTCATCAAAAATGGATACATGCTTGAGAGTGATCCAGCTTCAAAGAAAAATACCAAAATAGGTCAGTCTGCAAACACTCACGAAGAGTAGTATGACTTAATTTGATTTTTTGGGAAACATTTTTTTCCAGTCGCTGCTCTTTGACTTGGGTCACTTCACTTTGAAAACGCCCAGTGGATTTGGTCGAAGATGAATTGAACCGCTTGAAATCGATCCAATTTACATGTTTCTCACTGTGTTCATGTTCTTGTCGAAACACAATAGAAGAAATTGTGAAGCGGCTGATTCATTGGACATGTAAGTATTAAAGAAGTGAGGCTCAAGCAGAAGACTGGACTTTTCGGCGTGCCGTTACAATCTAGTATATGTATTCCCCGGTTAGTATGGACATGGAAAGTGGGGAACGCATTATTTTTCCACAAAGCATGTATAAATGAGAGAAAGCATTACATGTCTCGTGCAAGAAGCAGCTTAGGATTTGTTGTGCAATATGCAGCTCGAAATCAAAAAACAGCCCATGACAATCATGGTGATTTTACAGGAAAAGCACGTGCATGCAATACAATGCAAACATCAGTGGGGAACAAGAGTTGAAAGCGAAGAATTGAAATAACATTGATTGGGCCAAGACTAGTCGTGGAAATGTCCGTAAAACGTGCAAATAGGTTCAAATATTAGTGCAAAAGATAATGCCTGTGAATGGATATATTGCAATCATTTCCGCAGAGAGATGGTGAAACGAAAGCCTGGCGCGTGCAAGTGAGTTGGAGCAAAACAATAAACACATAGTTGCCAGATATGCACAAGTAGGCTGAAGAGTCACTAGAATTATTTTCCGGCCACCATTACAGCATTCAGAATTGGTGGAAAAGGAGAGCCTATTGGGCGTGCCCTAACTAGGCGGCCGTGGTGATCAAAACGCGTGCCGGTGGCTTGGTCACGTGCGCAAATGAGAATGCCCGGTCTTCAGAAGTCCTGTTCATCTCAACACAGTCTGTCCAAGGCCACCTAAAAAGAAGCCTGCCGCACTCAGGGAAATCTGCCCCACGAACCAGGCACATCTGTGTGGTACTTGAGACACCAGGAACACGACCGGGCCCCTCCGCCGAGAGCCCCGGGCAAGTCACGTGACCAGCGTTCCCGTCTTTTCGCGTCGGGCGGCACCGCGACACGCCATGCGGCGGCATACGCGTTGTTTGTTTACAAGAAAAAAAGACTCGCGCTCCGAGGCACCGTGTCACGAGACCACGCAAAACCAGACGCCTTCTACTCCACCTCTTCTTCCTGCCTCCTCTTCTTTCTGCCACCTCCTCTTCCTGCCACCTTTTCTTGTGCGTTCTTTCCGCAAGCTTGCATTTTCAACACTCCCCTCCTCTACACTCTGAGAACATTTACATAACACCTACATCTGTCTCAATGTCCAGTCTTCAGTTTCCTCCGTCCTCGCCTGTGCTAGATGGGCCGGAGCTTTCCGGCAATCCCTTCAAAGGCAGGGAGCCGCCAAGGGGCCGGTTTGAGTATCCCACGCCCAACCCCTCGTCGACCGTGGGCCGCCTGTCGTCGCCGGCCAGACAAGAAAAATACGCCGACCCTGCGGAGTCCACAGTTGGCCCGCAACACAGCGGCTGTTTGCACACAAAAGAAATGGCGGGCCTGCCCACTAAAAGGGTGCAGTTCATGGGGCCCTCCGCCGCGCCGAACCCTGCGTTCCAGGCCGTGGCCAGCTCGCCGGTGCGCGGGCTCGAAAGACCCGCCACGGTGTCGATCAACAGGGACTTCGATGTCGTCGCTCCACACGCCCGGGACTTCGATGTCGTCGCTCCGCACGCCCGGGTGTTGCGCGTGCCGCTTCTCTCCGACCGCAGCCGGATCTCCATAGGCCGCAGCTCCAAGAGCTGCGACTTCCATTTCAAGGGCTCGGGCAAGGCCACGGACAAACGCATCAGCCGCTGCCACGTGACCATCGAGTATCCCGGCAAGCACATGGTGCTCACGTGCACGGGCTTCAACGGCTTTGGCATCATAGTGCCGCGCGTGTGCCTCGTCAAGCAGCTCGGCGAAAAGACGTTCCAGCTCGTGGAGACGGACACGCCGCTCCGCGCCGACGGCGTCTGGAAATCCATCCATTTGGACCACCAGCACACTGAATTCCACGTGGCGCGCGGGGAGTCCGTGCACATGCCTCGGTTTGCCAACGTGCTCTTGCAGGTCGGCAGCCACGTGTTGTTGGTGAACCCCGACGACTGTGACGAGGACGTCACGGACGACGAGCCCATGGAGCTGGAGCCTGCCCGGCCCAAGAGCGGTGCTGCGGCTTTGCAAAAGACCGGGTCGCCGGTCCGGAAAGCCGCCACGCCTTTGAAGACCGGCGCCACGCATGCGGCGGCCCACGCCGGCGGTCTCTTGAAGTCCGCCCTCACGCCGGCGGTGGCCCCGGTCAGCAACCCCCACACCCCGCGGAAACCCGCGCAGCATAGCATCACGGCCGAGGAGCCCACGCCGTCCAGGCCCCGCAAGTGTTTGGCCGAGCAGGAGAATCTCTTTGTGCGGTCGGACTCGTCCAGCCAGGTCCTGACGCCGCCTCTCTCGAGCCGATCGCCCAACGTGTGCAGCGCCGTCCCGGCGAAGAGACGGGCGCACAGCGAGGAGCCGCAGGGCCCGGCCAAGAAGGCCAAGCGGGCGCAGGAGCACGACGCGAACGGCAAGCTCATCATCGACGAGCAGTGCCTTGCGGGCGTGGGCAACGTGGGCGAGATCGAGAACATCATCATCAACCACTTGGCGTTCTCGCGGCTCTCGTCCACGCCCGCGTCGTTCTTGAACACGATCCTGGCGGTGGTGTCGAAGCTCACGCTCCAGCAGCTCCGCGTGGTGCTCCACCAGGTCGACTGCATCGGCGTCATTTACCGCCTGGGCAAGGACGCCGCAGGGAAGCCGCTCGAGGAGGAATACTACTACATCCCGGAGAAGGACCGCGACCCGGAGCGGAACAAGTTGGTGTCTTCTGTGCGGGGCCACGGCGGCTTGCGCGCGTGCCGCAAGACCCACAAGCAGTACTACTGGAAGAAGCCGGCGCCCATCAAGAAGTAGGTGGCCGTGCGCACGGCGCGTGGTATATAATGGAAATACATGGTTCATGCCGCGCTTTTGACGCGTTTGGCCGGCTGGCCGCCGGCACGCGCCCGCTTGGCTCTGCGTGGGGACACGGTGTCGACGGCCGCCTCTCTTTTGACGAGCAGGCGGAGCCCGGAAGCAGTTGTTGCCTCGGGCTCTGTTTTGACGGACGCCTCGGACTCTGCTTTGACGGACGCCTCGGGCTCTGCTTTGACGGACGTCTCGACTTCTGTCTTCACAAACGTCTCGATTTCTGTCTTCACGGGCGCCTCGGATTCTGTCTCCACGGACGCCTCGACCCCAGTCCTCACGGACGCCTCGCCCTTGACCTCGTGCCTGACCGGCGCGCCATCGAGCTGGTTAATGCCGTTGTTCAAGTCCGAGAGATCCGCGGCAAACATCACCAGCTGCGCCCACCCGGCGTAGTCGCCAAACAACGAGCGGAGATGGCCGCGCACTTGGTGGTACGCCTTCTGCGTCATGGCCCTCGGGCCCCGGAACTTGTAGTCTCGCACGGCAATCTGCATCACGTGCGTGTCCACGGGCACCACGTCGTGCTTGTCGAGGGCCATGAGGCAGATGCAGTCGGCCACTTTGGGGCCCACGCCCGTGAGCCGGAGCAAGAAGCCGTGTGCCTCTTCGTACAGCCGGTTGCGGAGCTCGTAGAGCGCGGCCACCGAGATCTCCGGCCTGGCCGCGTCCACGAACATCTGGGCCGTCTGGTGGATGTACCGTGCCCGGTAGCCGAAGCCAAGCTCGCGCAAGCGGCCCTCCACCCCGGCCGCAGCTAGCGCGTCCGGGCCCGGGAACGAGTAGTAGCGCACGCCGCCGTGCTCGTTGATGTACGTGCCGTATTCCGCGCACACGGCGTCGCACATCTTCGAGATGCGCTTGACGTTGTTGTTGCTGGAGCAGATGAACAGCACCACGGTCTCCCACGGCTCCTGCCGGAGCATGCGGATGCCAGGGAACAGGCCGAAGGCCGCGCGCTTCAGGCCGTTTGAGAACCGCGCCTCGACCTCGGCCCACGCCCGATAGAGCGCCTCGAGCTGGACGTGCAAGTTGAAGTAGTCTCTGACAAAGTGCGAGGCCGCGTGTGGAGGAGGCCCGGCGCCGGCGGTTTCGGGCCCGATGGCCGCGTAGTGGAGCGCCGCGTCGTCCTGCCGGAGAAGCACGATCTGGTCTTGCGTGGACACGCTCCACACGTTGTTTACGTTTTTCCACCGGAAGGCCTGGCCGCATCGGAGGACGCGTGCAAGCGAAAGCTCTTTGGGCGAAAGGGGCATGGATTTCCAGAGCACGTCTGCAGGCATGGTGGGGGGCAATTTGAGGGTTTTTCTTTTGAGGCTGGCGGGAGCAGCACGAGGAAAAGGGGCCTGGGGCAGGGGGGGTGCAAATGCAGATGGGCTGTCTGAAGCGATGGCTCTCTCTCGGGGCTTTGCCGAATGCGGCAGTGTAATGGGCGTGCACCGTGCCGGCGCTGCGCGCACTATACGCGTTTCGGGCCTGAGTCCGAACCGCGAACCCAGGCCCGAACCCAAACCGCGACCCCGGGCTCATCGGAAGAAGCCATATTTCGAACCCCCCGCTTTTTCGTCCCGGTTTCTGGTGACCTAGCTTCCTTTTGCACATGGAAGAGGCGTGTCCGATCTGTTCGCGGAGCTTCCCGGTGAAGTTCCTCGAGCGGCATGTGAACTCGTGTCTCGACACGCTCGAGGTCGATACCTCGGAGCAGGAGATCCAGCCTTCGAGCCCCACCGCCACGCAGAATGGCGAGCAGAAATCCCAAGACGTGTTTGCGGCGCTTGGCCTCAAGGCCGACTCGCGCAGGCCGGCGGCCGACAAGGCGAAAAAGGGAAGCGCCACTTTGACCAGCATTCTTCTAGCGGAGAAACGGTTGAAGCGGCGGCAGGAGGACCTTGAGGAGCGCGTCCGCAAGAGGCACGCCGCCCAGACAGGCCCCGAAACTGGAGGCGGTCTGCACAATGGACAGAAGAGCACCGTCACCGAAATCCCCGCCACCCCGGCGTCCCCGCACGCCCGAGATCTGGACCCGGGCACCAAGCCCGAGTCTGCCGAGACAAGATCGCAAACCCCCGGGCCCCCGGCAGAATCGTCCGCAGTGGTTTCAGCAAGCCCATCGGGAAACAGGGCTGACTCGGCCGATTCGGCGAGACAGCGGTGGAAACACGAGTTCATGCGGCTCAAGCGAGAAGCCGATCTTCCCTTGGCCCAGAGACTACGGCCCAAGTCCCTCGGTGATTTCTATGGCCAGGAGAAGCTCGTGGGAGAAAACGGCATTTTGCGCAATCTCGTGGCCGCCAGCCAGATCCCATCGTTCATCTTGTGGGGGGTCCCGGGGGTAGGCAAGACCTCTCTTGCGCGGATCATCTCGCTGACATGCAACCACAAGTTCATGGAGCTTTCCGGGTCCGACAGCAACGCCAAGAAACTCAAGGAGGCCTTTGCGGCAGCACAGCACGAGAAACTGTTGACCGGGCAGAAAACAATTCTATTCTTGGACGAAATCCACCGCTTCAACAAGGCCGTGCAGGATCTCCTCCTCCCGGTCATTGAGAACGGCACGGTCACGGTGATTGGCGCCACCACGGAAAACCCCTCGTTTTCCTTGAACAACGCGTTGCTCTCCCGAATGCATACCTTTGTCATGGAGCCACTCCCGCACGAGGCGCTCGTGAAGATTCTCAACAAGGGGCTTTTGTTGCTAAACCGCACGAGGAAAATCGTCCATGGGCTCCATCTCATTGCCATGAACAAAGACAGCGTGGACTACATCGCGAGCTTGAGCTCAGGCGACTCCCGCGTGGCCCTAAATATTCTCGAATCCGTCAACGCATACTTGTCGGGATTGCAGTTCAAAGCATTCCCGGAGAAAGACCCCGAGCGGGAAAAGTTCGACTTGCTGCCACAAATCGGCGTGGTGCAAGTCACGCTTGACAAGTTGAAGCCATTGCTCAGCACGCGCAACTTCCACCAGATGTACGACAAAACAGGCGACAACCATTACGACACAATCAGCGCGTTTCACAAATCTGTGCGGGGCTCCAATGCCGATGCTGCGGTATTCTACTTGGTGAAAATGCTTCGGGGCGGCGAGGACCCCTTATTCATAGCCCGCAGAATGATCGTCATCGCCAGCGAAGACGTAGGGCTCCGCGATTCCTCGTGTCTTCCCTTTGCCATTGCAACCATGGAGGCTATTCAGTTTGTTGGCATGCCTGAGGGCGAGATCATTCTAGCGCATTGTGCGGTCAAATTGGCGCGAGCTCCCAAGTCCACCAAGTCATATCGAGCCTTGCGCAAAGCACAGGGCCTTTTGAGTGACGACCCCGAAATCTGCAAATTGCCCATTCCCATACATCTCCGGAATGCGCCCACCAAGCTAATGAAAGACTTGGGATATGGCGACACGTACAAATATAACCCAAACTTCAAACACGGCATGGTGAAGCAAGAATACTTCCCTCCCGAAATTCGTGATGCATGCTTTGTCGATGATACGCATCTAGGCACGGCGATGGATGAGGAAGTTCGACCGGAAGAGTACGCAGGGGCGGATGAAGAAGCGAACGATTATCAGAGGTTCAAAGATACCAGACGTCAAGAGCTGGCGCGGAAGTTGGTCGGGCGGAAAGAGCTGGCCAAACTCCAGAAGGTATCCGATCGTTTGGGGCTTTTGTCCTCTCCGGTCGAGAGGTTGGCCAGTTATGATGAAAACTTGAGCAAGGAAGTTCAGCCCGAGTACTTTGATGGCACGGATCATGTTTCTGAAGCGGATGAAGCTGATTACGATATCGCAGATTGCACCTATGACGAGTTCATGAAAGGGATCTGACTGTATCTTTTCTTCAAAGAGTTTCTGCCACCCCTCCCTTTGCGGGCTTGAGGATTCTACATCATCTCATGACGGTGTGGCTCAGGGTTGCGAATTTCGGCAGTCAGTGACGGAAGGTCGCTCACAATGCTTCTTCCGTCAATATGCTTCCCGTTATTTGAGACCACATAAGGATTGTTGAATGGGTATGAGTACTCGCGCTGAGCCTCCTCGCATAGCTGAGTCGGCCAGCTAATGGCTTGAGAGTCAAGTCTGGGATCAGGGTCACTGGCCACGAATTTGCGATTGGCGAGAAGTGCTAGGCCCAAAAGCAAGTATAGAAACCATACTCCGACAAAGGCCGTGGAAATGAAAAACTCTTTCCATAATGCTTTTTTCTGCCCTTGGATGACTTTTTGAACTGCGGAAATCACATTGTCCGCAACGCTCAGCAGCACGTTGGACACATCCGGGGTCGAGCTCTCAAAGACTTCTTCCATGTATGAAGATTCAAGTGAGGGCGCTTCAAAAATCGTGTTGCTCTCAATCCATTGCAACCCTTTTTCAATCGTGTCCACCTTCCGGCCTATGGTGCAATATATGATGGTACGAAGCGGCGACGCAAGAAACGATGAGCCAAAGACAACATTGATGGTGTCATTAACAGACGTTTGGAAAAAGTCAAGCTTGTCGAGAATGACCGAGGAGGTATTGTGGATTGAGGAAAACAAGGCTTCGTTGACTTCATCCACCGCGTCGTCCAAAGATATTTGCGCGTCGTCCAAGTATTGAGAAAACTCGTCAATAAGCTGACCTTTTGTTTGAGATGATAACGTACCGCCTGTCAGCAACTGCCCCAAGATTTTTGTGGTTTGCTGTAGAGTGACAAACTGGAGAAGTACAACGAGCCAACCCAAGAGGCCAACCAAGAGGCACATTCTCAAATTCGAGGTGGTGAGGTATGAATACAACCACTGGAACTCTGGTTTCCAGCGACTCGTGAATATGCCCATAAAGCCGTGTTCAAAATGCCCGATGCTATTTCCAACTTCCTCGGGAGTGTCTATTTTTGAAAGAGCTTCAAATAACAGCGACTGCTTTCGCATTCGAAAGTATGAAAAGACCCACGCCACCACTGTGTATAGAACAATCCCAATACAAAGCCCCAACACTATGTAGTCGGCCATGGATCTTGTGGCAGAGATTGCACTGTCTAGTACGGACTCGTATTCATCGCACATACTCTGTGTTGCGTTTGCCGATTGGCTCAATAGACTCACGCTGATTTCTGTAGACGGGATACTGGGAACGACCACTAGCCCAGTTGTGTTCAGCAACAGCCACGTGTCATTGAGCGTGAAATTGAACGACGCGTTGGCAAAGCTTTGGGTGAGCTCGGTGATGGGAGAAGTAAGCAACGACAGGACGTTGGAAAGCACGTCTTCGAAATCGGGAATGTCGTTGGCCAAGTCGTCAATATCACCGATCCAGCTCGTGGGTATTGTGATGTTTGACAACGAGGACACCGTGAGGTTCACAGTGTCGATGTCGCTGGTGAGGCTCGACTCATCGGACGATGAGAAGAGCGACTCCACCGCACTAACTGCCGTGGTCACGGTATTGATCACAGAAGATAAGCCCGAGAGCGCAGAGTTAAACTCATCCAAAACGGTGTTGATGGCATTTTGGACAAACAGAGTGATGTCCTCCAAGATGTCTGAAACAAGGTCCAAGGTGCCCTGGACCAACGCCGTTATTAGACACGTCAACGTCCCCAAGTACAACTCTAGAAGAAGCGAGATTATGCTTTTCGCGATGGCCGCCAGCAAGTACACCAGCTTTTCAACTAGATTGTGGGTATTTGCTGCTAGGGTTGCTAGCACCAGCGATGTGATGCGAGACATTTGTGCCGGGGCCTGTTCCAAGTCGCTGGCAAGGAGTTCCAATTGGCGGCAGAGCGGCATACTGGACTCACTGACCGCCGAGATCATGGAAATCAACGCAGACGAGAAAAAGTACACTTTGAGTGTTGCGAGGACCAAGAATATCAATGTCTGGTCGAGCCATGCTTGCAGAAGGGTCTCTGCTAGGTTCAAGTAGTGGCGCATATTGGAGAGGTGGCTGGACAAGACCGTTTTCAAAGGACAAAAGTCAAAATTCGGCCGTTTCTAGGAGTCTTCTAAAACAATAGCTTCAAAAAAAAAGAATAGACCGAGTTGTGGGGTGCACTTGTCTTAAAAGACAACGGGACATCTGGTTGTAGGCTGTTGCGGCCTGCGTTCCTGCGCAGCCGTAGCCAGGGTGTTTCATGTGCGTCGGAGGCTGAAACACGGACGTGCAGTTTTTGCGGCAAGCTGGAAACACGGCAAAGGGAACTTGGTGCCCGAGATTATAGCCGCTTGTTGGCTCCGACACCAATATGCCCTGGAACCCTGTCCAAGGTGTGTCTTGGATACGTCAGCCTGCATGAGCATAGGACCAGCACAAGGAGCTTGAGCCCGGAGCCACGAGCAAGGGCTGCATCCACCAGTACATCCCCAAGGCCAGCTTTCTCGCTTCCGTGGCTTCAACATTCACACCCTTTACTTGAGGCAGGCTAAAGCAGCGGAAAGGAGTCTCCCAGAAACATATTTTGCACCCACGGCGGCGGCGGGCCTGCACACAGCGCGGCGTGCGCTCGGGCCTCCCGCGTTGCGGGCAACAGCACAGAAAAACAACAAACTACGAAGGTCGCACGGCTACACCATAAACAATACCCCAAAAATGGCACAGGAAGCTAAAGAGGAAGTCTCGGACACCCACATCAACTTGAAGGTCAGCGACGGCGCCGGCGAGATCTTTTTCAAAATCAAGAGAACCACGCCCATGAAAAGATTGATGGACGCCTTCTGCAAAAGACAGGGCAGATCCTTGGACTCTATCCGGTTCTTGGTTGACGGCACACGCATCCACCCGGATGCCACGCCCCAGGAAATGGACTTGGAGGATGGCGATGTCATCGAGGCCCACAGGGAGCAGACTGGTGGGTGCATGTAAGACAAGCGAATATACGAAATAGACCCTGCAGAACCGTAGAGTGCGTTTGGCGCCACGTAGCGCCTGCTGTCGGAGGCGGGCTTTTGGATATGGGGGACGGGGGCCGAGGCTCGTGTAGGCCCTGTCATATTATGTGCGTGTTTTGCTGTTGGCCCGGCGATGGTGCACTGCGCGGTATGCTTCGATGTAGATGGACAGGCAGAGAAGTACGTTATGCGGCGGGCGAGGAACCCAGCAAAACCTGGACCGGCTGCTTGCAGTCACGTGGCGAGGGCGGGAGAGCCGGCGACAGACGAAGACAAAAAAGAGAGACGAGGAAAACGAAATGGAGAGGAGAAGAATGTAAAAAAAGACTGTGGTGCCGGTTCAGAAAGGGTCTGGTGGTGGGGCGGAGATACGGCCCTTTGCTGTTGGTGGAGCCACTGCTGGCGAGGCAAGAAGCGCAGGGCCGCGACCCAGGCGATGGCAGATCCGGGTTTGAGGGCCCGGCACATGGCACCGATTCCACAGCCGATTCGCTGGGGCCAAGGCGCCGCTCACGTGACGCAGCCCAGCAGAAGCCGAGGGTTCGATGAACCGAACTTTCTTTGAAAAAAAAAAGGTCTGGCCCCGTCTCCGCATGATATCTCCAAGCCTGTGGCGGACGGGTGTTGGATTGCAAATTCTGGCAGGTATATGTCCGCTGCGCGCCCGCGGACAGGCTTGGTGCCAAATGCCTTCGATAGTATTCAGATCCACGTCGCTCCAGCCACAGCGATCGCTTATTTCAGCCACCCCTCCTACCGAGCCCACAGCATGTAGACCTGAATACAATCGCCGCTCGCTGCTTTCTTACTTGGCCTCATCAAGCATTTTCCCGGTAATGTCTGGTTTAACCCTCGCACCACTGGAAGAGGAAGCGACAAGCGCAGTTGCCACGTGACGCACCAGTTCCGAGACCGGCAGCGTCGTTCCATTGCAAGCTGCAGTGCATAGACGCCACTGGGCGCCAAAGCAGGCAGCGAGAAAAAAAAAGAGAAAAAATAGAATTCGGGCCCGGCAGGACTGGGGCGGGAATCGAGCACCCGGTTTTTTCCGCTAGGGCCGCCGCGATCCGCCATGGGGCCATGTGACGTATGAGGCGTGGAGGCGCGAAACGTGATGTTTTGATGTAGGGCCGTTGATGTAGGGCCGACGGCCGCGCCCTCCGGTCGGGCGTCGGCCGACCTTCAAATTGGGGTCTGTGTTCTGTATTCTGCCTTCAGTTTTTTTTTTCAGTTTTTTCTTTCGGTGTTGTTTTTTCTTTCGGTGTTGTTTTTTCTTTCGGTGTTGTTTTTTCTTCGGTTTTGATTTTTCTTCGGTTTTGATTTTTCTTCGGTTTTGATTTTACTTCGGTTTTGTTTTTTCTTTCGGTATCGTTTTTGCTTCTGTCTCTGTTCTCCCGTTTTGAAGCTCTGGGTGTTTTCGGTTTGCCAGGTCAGTGCTGGGTAACAAGGCGTGACGGCCGGGGCCGAGCGGGCGGGCGGGCCTGCACACAGGCCAGACCGGGGTGCCCATTGCTCGGCCCAGCGGCGGGGGGCCGAGGGACCCGCGGCCGGCCTGGCGTATATAAGGCGGGGCCCGCGCGCCAAAGGCCCCGGGGCTCCAGAGCCAGCAGAACGTCCGAACCAGTACACTCTGCAACGCGGCCAATCATCCCAAGACCCCAGAACCCAACTCTCGAAAATGTGCAGAGCAGCCATATGTGGAATTTGCAACCACAAGTCCTGGACGGGCTGTGGCGCCCATATCCCGGGCGTCATGGACTCCACGCCCAAGAGCGACTGGTGCACTTGCGAGGCGGTGGACAGCTCGTTCGACCCCGCCTACCCGCCCAAGGCCGGCACTGGTTTTGCCAAGGCCACGTCCAAGTAGGGCAAAAGGCGCATCTTGGGCTCGCGTTAGAGGTGGAAGCGCACCTCGGTTTATAGGAAGGAGGGGAAGTCAATAGTTAATTGAGGCTATGTGAAGTCAGGGGAGACGAAGAGAGGGGGAGGCAAGTAGTGACGAAGGAGGGGAGTGTAGGAAGAGGGGGTGTGAGGGGGAGTGAGAAGATGGGGTGTAAGAATGGGTGTAAGGATGGGTGTAAGGATGGGTGTAAGGATGGGTGTAAGGATGGGTGTAAGG